TGCAGCCATGGTGTTGAGTATGTACATGTTAATGGTGATGTCAAAGCAAAGAACACATCAAACAAAAACACTTTGCACAGAGACGCTTGATAATTTTCAGTGTTCCGGTCTACCTCAGGAGGTTCTGGACTCTCCTTTCTTGGAGGTTTTTAAGCAGACGGTCATTTGTCGTGGATGCTTTAGCTGGGATTTCCGCATTACAGGGGGTTGGACTAGATAAGTATGGCCATCCAGACAGTTTCTGGGGTTTAGCAAGCACAACCTTTATCTCACTTCAAGTGTTGCAAATTAAGAAATAGTTCACTTATCTCAATTTTGCTCAGAGAGGCACTCTGATTTGGAGCTTGGCCACTACTTTGTGGTAGGGATGGAAGGAAAGTTTAATTCAAAACACATTTAAAGGCCAATCTCCCTAATTTGCACTTTCTGAAATATTATGAGGACTGAAACACAGCCATCCTTCAAAATTCATACTTCTCTGAATTTGGAATGCAGCTCTCCAGCCAAAGCACAAAAATGCATATACTGAGGTAAATATTGCATACAAAATCATATATTGGTGGAAATGCATTAATACTATGAATGTGCATATTGGGAAAAATGTATTAAAAATGTGTATAATAGGAGAAATTTGCACACAGACACAAAAAGAATTTTGATGACGTCTGAGGAACTTAAGACTGAAAATGTGGGATACTAAGAGAACCAAAATGAACAGTTTCACCATCCTTCCTCTGTAGACATGACTGCAGCTGAGATATTGGAATGAGCTGCTTGGGTTTTAGAAAGATCATATGAAATATTCATTTTTAATTATTAGTGGTTGACCCTAGGATGGGTTTGGACCCTGGTAAGGATGTTCCTTTTTTATATGAGGAAGTTGCTGTATTACAGGTCAGACCACTGGTCCCTCTTCCTCAGTATTGTCTAGGGGCAGTGGTTTACAAGTTTGCAGATTAGAGCCTTTCTCAGCCCTGCCTGAAGACACTGGTGTTTGAACCTGAGAGCTTTTTCATACAAAGTGCTGCAGTCTCTTCCCTGAGGCATGGCATAAAAGTTAACAGAAAATGGACATATATCTGGTGGGTACAGCAGGTACCTTTATCTTTATTAATAATTTGCATATGCATGTTCATCATTTGGTGGCTTGCTTGCAACAGATCAAAAACCACAAATCATTTTCCAGATCTCCTAATACCGTTTTTCAAATAGTAGTTTTCAACAGAAGCGGTTCAAATATTTAGCAGAAATGATTGAGAGATTTACTGTTGAATGATGACCTATCAAGTGTTATGCATATACAGGTGAGCCAGACATTAGATTGGTGTCATGGTCAGAAACAGCTCTCACATAACCCTGTTAAAATTATTATTATTATTATTATTATTATTATCATCATCATTATTATTATTATTATTATTATTATTATTTTCTACCCTGCCCATCTGGCTGAGCCTCCCCAGCCACTCTGGGCAGCTTCCAACAGAACGTTAAAAATACAATAAAACATCAGTCATTAAAAACTTCCCTAAACAGGGCTGCCTTCAGATGTCTTCTAAATGTCATATAGTTGCTTATTTCTTTGACATCTGATGGGAGGATGTTCCACAGGGTGGGCGCCACTACCCAAAAGGCCCTCTGCCTGGTTCCCTGTAACTTTGCTTCTCACAGTGAGGGAACCACCAGAAGGCCCTCAGCGCTGGACCTCAGTGTCTGGGCAGAACGATGGAGGTGGAGATGCTCCTTCAGGTATACTGGACCGAGGCCGTTTAGGGCTTTAAAGGTCAGCACCAACACTTTGAATTGTGCTCGGAAACATACTGGGAACCAGTGTAGGTCTTTCAAGACCGGTGTTATGTGGTCTTGGCGGTCGCTCCCAGTCACCAGTCTAGCTGCCACATTCTGGATTAGTTGTAGTTTCCAGATCACCTTCAAAGGTAGCCCCACGTAGAGCATGTTGCAGTAGTCCAAGCGGGAGATGACTAGAGCATGCACCACTCTGGCGAGACAGTCTGCAGGCAAGTAGGGACTCAGCCTGCATTCCAGATGGAGCTGGTAAACAGCTGCTCTGGACACAGAATTGACCTGCACCTCCATGGACAGTCCAAAATGACTCCCAGGGTATGCACCTGGTACTTCAGGGGCACAGTTGCCTCATTCAGGATCAGGGAGTAGTCCCCCCACCTGCCCGCCCCCTGTTCCCCCGTATAAAAAATACAGTTGGTTGAAAACAAATTGAACTAAGTTTATTGATGATTAAACCTGTGCTTTAAAACAAAATAATAAACAGGGGTACATCAGCAGACACTAAGAGAGTGTTCCTGAACACACATACCAGAACACATTTACAATGCTCCTGGGACGGTGTCGAATCTGGGGGACTCAAATTTCAGCGGCCCCCTATGCAGTGGTAACCCTCCCCTCCCACCTCTCACCTTCCATTCTACCTCATAGTTGTGGAATGCCCTGTGTCACCCCTGAGGTTCTGCATCTGGTTCGGTTGTGCTCCCCTAAATCCACCTCTGCCTGAGAGTAAGCTCTATTGGACACTGAGAGCTGATTCCCATGTGACACTAAGCCAAACAATGGCTTGGTGTGACCACACAAACCTGAGGTTTCCTGTAGAGGAGATAGCAACTGCTGCTGCTGTACTGTTGTGGATTAAGGTTTATCTTGCTCAGAACAAACCATGAGTGGTAAACCCAGGGGCAAACCTTGGTTTGCTGAAGCAATATAAACCATAAGCCTGGGTTTGGGCAACACACTGAACCAAATTAAGACTTAACTGGCAGCAGAAGACGCAGAGGAGGAGAAAAGTGGCCATTCTCTCCTCTCTGGGAGCCTGCACACTCCTGCATTTGTACAAAGCCATAGTTTGGCTCTGCAAACCAGCTCATTGTAAACATGTGTAGGACTGCACTGTCAGAAATGGCAAAACACACCAGATTCATTTCAATAAACAGCGTCCTAGCACCTGCTGAGGTTCCTTCTTTCTGCTCTTTTCTCTTGCTCTTTGGTGCTGCTTTCCGTTTTTTCATTCTAACCCGGTGCTTTTAACCTCTCGTCTCTGAGGAAACGTATGGAATACAGTCTTCACAGTGCTGCACAAAAACTTTAATAGTTTTCTGTTACTGCAAGAAGCTAGTGTCAAACATGCATAAGTAAATTCATAAATATATATTATCTGATTATAAAAATCACCTTTTACTAAATAGACTACTATGTGAATAATAATATATTTTCACCCTGTTTTTCAAAGTATACCATTTCCACCTCCACCTCCTTACTACAAAATGAAACAATTTGAAGCTTAAAATGGAAAACCTTTGGCTGATAGTATTTTTGTTCAACTAAATGCATGTATTATGCATCTGTGTGCTTTGGGTTATAAATGTGCTTGGCGCTTGCTGTAATTTATAAGACTTCACTTTTGGCTGATTTATAGGAAATTTCATTAATCTCTACAGCACAGGGACCTTGCAGTGAGTAGCAGATTGAAAATGAAGCCAGGGCTGGGTTTTTTAGAAGCTACCACAAATGAATCAGCACTGAGAGACTTTGAATAGTAATGATCATTTGCAGAGTCGAAAGGTCTTTTTTCACTTACACTAAGATCCGAAAGAAACATTTTTGGAGGTAACACTGAAATTGCTAACCCTGCAGCTATGGGAGATATATTTTTTTCTGTCGTTTAAATAGCCATTCTTTATTCCTGTGTTCAGCACACATTTACTAATGAGACTTTCTCTGCTGCTATGGCCAAATATGAGGATAGTGGAGAGTGTATCAGGAAATCAGATGAGTCTGCTTAATGGTGGGAGAGAGCTGATGCTCAGCTCAGCAGTTCACAGAAACTCCTTTTTATCTGCTTTCCTGAAAGAAGCAAACAATAAGCATTTGGTGAGCATTTCTATTCAAGTAGTAAAAGCTTTACTTGCACCATTCCTCAGTTCTATGTTGTGTACACCATGGCGACTGTCCTTTAGGGGAAATAGCACAAGAAGTAAAGGCAATAGGAGTCTGCAGATTTGACTGTGTCACATAGACCATACATGCATGTCAATGCTATACTCATGCTTGCCTTTTAATCACTGCTCTTGGTAAACTAGAGGCAAACTACATTGGCCACATTTTTGGTTTTACATTCAAACAATTGTCTCGACTTCTTTCCATTTTTTTAAGCAGCAATGAAGTTTCAAAGTGTACCATTCTTGGTTCTTGTTCTGAACTTATTCCCTGACATGTTGGGTCCCCATCTTAATTGTTAGAATTTCTGTATCAACTGAAAAACAAACATGGGCTATGACATTCCAGTTCCATTCTATGCATGGTTTCATGGAAGTTCTTCTTGATAAAAAAAACAAAAACAAGACAAGCATATATCACAACAATGATAGTGTTGCATTTTCATTTTTTTAAAAAATTATTATTATTATTATTCATTTGCAGAATTTTTTCATGATTTCCAATATTGTATTCAATCATGTCCCTTTGCTGCCAGAAACAGCAGAGGCTTCCATCAGCAGAATCTTGCCAATTCTCCCTCTCCCCTCCTTGTGGCCCCTGCAAATCTGTTCCAGAAGATTGAATGGCCCTTCAGAACAGTGTGGGAAGGGGTGCAGAGCGCTGCAAAAGGGAGGAAGAATTGGCACCACCAGAAATGATCTTATATTTCAGTTAGAATTGTATGCCATTTTATGTGTTATTTTCTTTTGGTGACTAGGCTGCATAGTTCAACAGAGAGTTCAAAGGCTCAAGTAGCAATTTTAAGCCTCCATTAGTATATTAAGATGCATTCCCCAGAAATTTGTAGGCAGGTGAATGGGAAATTATGTGTATGAAGTATTTCATAAAATTACCATTTTAAAAATATATAAAGTTGAGGAAATTGTAGCGCAAATTAACAATTGGAGCTAACATGATCCTTCTTTATTTGTTTCTTTCAGACTACTGGAACTCCTGAAGGACCAACACCAAATAAATTATGAATGTTGAACAAGATGACCTTACATCCACAGCAGATAATGATAGGTCCTAGGTTTAACAGGGCCCTATTTGACCCCTTGCTTGTGGTGCTACTGGCTCTTCAACTTCTTGTGGTGGCTGGTTTGGTCAGAGCTCAGACTTGCCCGTCTGTCTGTTCCTGCAGCAATCAGTTTAGCAAAGTAATTTGTGTGAGGAAGAATCTGAGAGAGGTCCCTGACGCCATCTCCACAAACACACGGTTATTGAATCTCCATGAGAACCAGATCCAAATCATTAAGGTGAATAGCTTCAAACACCTGAGACATCTAGAAGTCTTGCAGCTGAGCAGAAATCACATTAGAACAATTGAAATAGGGGCCTTCAATGGTCTGGCTAATCTCAATACTTTGGAACTTTTTGACAATCGTCTTAGCACCATCCCGAATGGGGCTTTTGTGTACTTGTCAAAACTGAAGGAGCTTTGGTTGCGAAACAATCCCATTGAGAGTATTCCTTCTTATGCTTTTAATAGAATCCCTTCCCTGCGAAGGTTGGACTTGGGGGAATTGAAAAGGCTTTCATATATCTCAGAAGGTGCCTTTGAAGGTCTGTCCAATTTGAGGTATTTGAACCTTGCTATGTGCAACCTTCGGGAGATCCCTAACCTCACGCCACTTGTAAAACTGGATGAGCTAGACCTTTCTGGGAATCACTTAACTGCTATCAAGCCTGGGTCCTTTCAAGGATTAATGCACCTTCAGAAATTGTGGCTGATCCAATCCCAGATTCAAGTGATTGAAAGGAATGCCTTTGATAACCTTCAGTCGCTAGTGGAGATCAACCTGGCCCACAACAATCTAACACTACTGCCTCACGACCTCTTTACACCTCTCCGTCTAGAAAGGATCCACCTACATCACAACCCTTGGAACTGCAACTGTGACATCCTGTGGCTCAGCTGGTGGATTAAAGACAAAGCGCCCTCGAACACTGCATGCTGTGCCCGTTGCAACACGCCTCCTAGCTTGAAAGGGAGGTACATTGGTGAGCTGGACCTGAATTACTTCACGTGCTACGCTCCTGTGATTGTGGAGCCACCAACAGACCTCAACGTCACTGAAGGCATGGCTGCAGAGCTGAAATGCCGAGCATCGACGTCCCTGACCTCCATATCTTGGATTACTCCAAATGGGTCTGTTATAACACATGGGGCTTATAGGGTTCGGATTTCTGTGCTCAGCGATGGCACGTTAAATTTTACGAGGGTGACTGCGCAAGACACGGGCTTGTATACATGCTTGGTGAGTAACTCTGTTGGGAATACTACAGCTTCTGCAACACTCAATGTAACTGCACAGGAGTGTATTACTTATTTTTCAACCATCACAGTAGAAACTGTGGAACCTTCTCAGGATGAGGCGCGGACAACAGAGCAGGTTTGGCCCACACCGGTCATTGAATGGGACACCACCAATGTGACAACCTCTCTCACACCACAGAGCACAAGGTCAACGGAAAAAACGTTCACCATCGCTGTGACAGATTTGAGCAATGGGATTCCAGGAATAGATGAGGTTATGAAGACTACCAAAATCATAATTGGTTGTTTTGTGGCAATCACTCTTATGGCAGCGGTGATGTTGGTCATTTTCTACAAAATGAGAAAGCAACATCACCGGCAAAACCACCATGCTCCAACACGAACTGTAGAGATCATTAATGTGGATGATGAGCTTACAGGTGACACACCTATAGAAAGTCATTTGCCCATGCCAGCAATAGAGCATGAGCACCTAAATCACTATAACTCTTATAAGTCTCCTTTCAACCACACAACAACAGTTAACACAATAAATTCAATACACAGTTCAGTGCATGAACCATTATTGATCCGAATGAACTCAAAAGACAATGTGCAAGAGACTCAGATCTAAAACATTTACAGATTTAAAACACAAGACAGTTTATTAAAAAAAAATGACACAAATGACTGGGCTAAATCTACTGTTTCAAAAAAAGTGTCTTTACAAAAAAAAGAAATTTATTTATTAAAAATTCTATTGTGAGAGAAAGCAGACAAAATTATGTGTATTCCTCAGAACCTCTTTTTGCTGCACTTATTTACCCTACTTCTTTCCTCCCCTTTCTTCTTCCCCCTTCCCAAGCCCATTTGCCATATTTTTCATAGAACAACTTGATTCTCTAAAAAAAAAGATTAAAAAAAACTGGTCTAGGGATTTTTGTAAGAATTCTGTTAACGCTTTGGGAATTTTTATGGTGAATTCTAGTGGTGAGATTCGGTCTATTTTGTCTTTCTTCATTTCATTTTATTCTCATGCCCTTTTTGAAATGGTTCAACAGGGAAATGGATGTTAGTGGTAGATTCATAAGAACAATCAAGGAACAACAACAGCAAAAATAACAAAATATTTTATTTTTATTTTTATTTTTCACATAATGACCTGTTCTGTATTTCCTGAAGGGACCATTCTGTGGAAGAAGAAAACAAAAACAAAAACAATCCAAGAAATTAATTTTCATGTGAGCATCTATAAAACCCATGATCTTTTAAACAATTCTAGAACCAGGATTTGTAGTTCAAACACTAAAATAAGATTATAAATAAAATATTGTTGGTTTTTTCTGTATTTGCACAGAAATCATTTTTAGTGTGGCTTCTGATGTCAAAAGGTGGTTAAAAATTCTACATTCCCCTCTCTTGCATTTTCCTAAAAAATGAAAACTTTATAACTTACAACAGTTTGGATTTTAACTCATCATTAGTAATATATTTACTTTTAGCCTATGTAAACATTAGCATACCATGTGTGAAGAATAATGGCCAAATCAACCCGGTTCATATTGTATTGATGGTTTGCGACCTGCTGCAGCATAATTCCATCCCACCCTGCTCAGATAATGTGAAAAGTCCTGGACCACATGGAAGGAGCCCGTGCTGTGGTCCCTTCATACGTCTACACTGTCAAGGGGAAAGGCTTGCAGAATGGGCTTCTCCCCACATATCGGTTTTTTTAAAATGTTACTTAAACAGTTCAGGAAGAAGCCATGCAACAGTTGCCATAACACCAGCCTATCATGGAAAGGGGTCTTAACTCAAGCTGAGCCAGAGATCTCCATGCTCCATATTCATGGGACCATTAATCCCCCACAAAAAAGGCTGGGTATCAGTGGCTTTCGGGTGACAGACAAAATGAAGAATGCTTGGGTGGCGGCTGGGCTTAACCTTAAAGTTGAGGTGGCTGAGGGTTTTCTTCACAAACAAACAAACAAACAAACAAACAGGCTTTATCGCCATTTCCATTGGAAGCCTGGATGGCGTCAGCAGCCTGGAAGTCTTCCCTTTGGAATTTGGAACAGAGTTGTCCTGGTAGAGCAAAATTATGTCATAATGTAGCATCATTCACAAGTGGATTCTTGGGGGCTTCCCATTGGTATCCCCCCATGTCAAATAAAAGAGAGCAAACCCCTAGTCCACCTTGACTTAAATGCAAGCCAACCCCCAACCAAAAGTGTGTAAATTTCATCCCCCAAAGATTTATCCATACTTCTGGATGCCTTCTGCAACAAATAAAGATAATTAACCATAGAATACATTTTAAATTCTTTCTGGCTTTTGGGACATCTTCCAGAATGGGAAGAGGACATGTGGCAGCAGCAGTGAGGGTGGGAGAAGTTAGATTTGACAGGGCTGGTTGTATAATATATTTTTTAAAATGGTCCTAGGCCATGGTTTTACTTACTATTGCTGATCTAGAACTAAACATCCACTCAGGTCATTACTTTGGTTGAATGAAAACACTCACGGATGCAAACATGAAAGTTGTTTAACTAGCCAGCACAATCAAAAGATGTCTGAGCATGATGAGCTAAAATGCAATCAAGGTACTGATAACTTTCAGGAAGAACTTGCAACATCAAGGGGTTAACAAAGAAATTAAGATGTTCTAACAAATTGTTTTGATTAGAGTCAAATGAATGGAAAAAGTAAAAGCCATAAGTACTACAGTTCCCAAATGAGAAGGCAGATGTGGAGTCCCTGTGGAACATTTTTGGAAGACGGAAGCTTTACAGCAGTGATACAATCAACGTGTTGGTGGAAATGTGTGGATCTATTTTTTTGTGGTGTGGGAAGCAGATCTTAGTGGAAATCATCCTCTGGTGAAATAATATTCCTGCATTAAAAATGGGGAAACGGGAAGCAGCTTAGATGACTCAGTGTACCAAGAGCAGAAGTAAGGAGGGTTTTTTTTGCATATCTCCCCACCCACCACCCACCCACTCACCACAGCCAGTGTCCTAGAGCCCAACCATGCAGGCTTGCTATGTACTACAATTCCAGCAGTAGCTCTTGGGAGAACTCCATCTCCCATGGGTTACAGGGCACAATTATATGCTGATCCACAGTTCATTGATGAGCTCAGACTCCAGGATGCCTTGGGTGGTGGGGAGTGGAAAGAATGTATCTCTTCCACATTCCATGTAAGTCTTTGAATGAAAGGGAAAGGGGGTATTTTGGGAAGTGAGAGTATACTGGAAGATGTTTGGGAGGATGGAAAGCTGGTGGAGAGGTTATGTTTTGAGCCTCTGAAAATAAAGTTATTTCTAAATACATAATTTGGTAGTAAAGCAAGCCAGTCTGAGGTGACTCGGGACACACTCTGCCATGTCTAACACCAACTCCAGCTGCCATTAACATACCTCTTACCAGCACATGTCTCTGAGTTTATCCTAGTGACAAAGCACTACACAGGGTTGTTCTGTTAGGATCCCCTTCTGGTACTTGTACATGACATCTGTTAAGGGTTTCTAGCCCTTTGAAACCCTTTTACCCCCATGGTGCCTTTAATGGGAGAAAAGCTTCTCAGTCTGCCCAGTGTTTATGCAAGTGGCAAGGACTATTTTTCAACAGCTTGAAGATCTTTCAGGGTGTTCCAAACAATGAAGGGAAAGGAACACAAGCCACAAGGCAGGAATGTTTGGTCCTCCTTGTTTGTCTGGGCAAGCAACTCCTTTTAAGAAAAGTACGTGTAGCCAAATGATAAGCAGACTCCTTCATTAAGAAGGTGGGTGCCAACAGACAATTTCTTATCAAAACAAAAGAGAGTTGTTACAGAAAAGGAGCAGTTGGGAACAGCATTAAAAGAGTACAACAAAAGGTTACGTGTGCAAATGCATTTCTACACAGGCTGGCAAAACTGAAATACCAGAGTCCTCAAAAGTGGTAGTCTTAGAAGCATCATTCGATTTCAAGCCATTTCCAAAAGTTAAGAGGGAGCCATTTCAAAATGGATGTATACAAACTGGGATGTGGGCAACTCCAGGAAAACTCTGTACTTCACTAGGAGTGAATTCTCTCAGGAAAACAGCAGCTAGGGAGAAAGGAAATGCAACTTCCATGAAGACTTGTGTCCCGCTGTTTTGCAGAGCAAACAGTCACTACTGGTAGACCACATCCAGACCCTTTTGTCACAGTCTAATGGGTAGCTGAGAGGTCCTCAAACAGACTATAAAAGAGGGGCATGTGATCAGCCAATTAAGAGTAGGACAGCTTCCATCTACCTAAGGATTAGCCCTTCTATCTATGCAAGAGAAAAAATCCAGAAGGCAAGCAGGTAAAGTGGCCGACTCCATAGCATACTCCCCATGACAGGATTCAGACAAAAGAAATGTAATATCTGCACCTTTTAAGTAGAGCTGGACCATTTGTTGCATATGTTGACCGAGTTAAAACAAATTGATGGCCTGTTTAAGAATAGGAACTGGAGGATCAAGCTGGTGACTAAAACAACAAAAATGTCACAGGTCTGCAGCAGAGTCCAGACCACTCGCAAGTTTTAAAATGAAAGGTTTTGAGACCCAATATGGGAGCCAGAAAGTGGCTCGTGAATGACCCGTTTAACTGATACATTCTTATTAACTTGATTTGGGGTTGAGATGCTAATAAAATAGTCAACATTACAATTGCTGAAATAAATATCTTTGCAGTCTGGTTTTTTATGTATTGTATTGTTAACTGAATTAATAGTGTCAAAAGTTACTGGTATTACTGTGAGTTGATTGCAACCAGACAAAATGAATATGTGCTGACATTGTTTCCTGTTGGGTATTTGCACATTCGTCTAAAGAATGCCACATATTAGGGGCTGGAAACTTGGAATCTTGGAGAAGGGGAGTTCCAGCTGAGAGGGGAAAGGGATAGGTAAAAGGAGGAGACACTCCCATATGCATTTCCTATAGGCTTTCCACATTCTTGTCTCTATTGTATCTTTTCCTGGAGAGTTTCTGTCACATTCCCTTTCTCAACAGCTGGAGGGGATGGATTTGGAGAAGTAAGCCTGGCTTTTCTGCTACTCTGGTAAAGTTAACTGAAGACCAAACAGTATATGTTAATGTTATCTATCTTTTGCATGTCTGCAGAAGTATGCTAATCCTATTTATCCCCCATGCCACTGCAAAATATTTTATTTTGGACCAAATTTTAAAGATTTGGAGCTCTGGCTGAAGAGTGGAATCCAAAACTACGGGATGAAAGAAGTAAAAGGATCTCATTCCTACTTTCAACTGGACCACTATATTCTTATAAGAAAGTTGAATTCACATCTTCATCCCTTTGAGGGGCTAAATCAAAGTTGTCTCAAAAGATATTTGAAAACCAAATTCATGTATATTCATTCCAGTGTACAGTGGTACCTCAGTTTACATACACTTCAGGTTACATATGCTTCAAGTTACATACGCTTCAGGTTACAGACTCCGCTAACCCAGAAATATTACCTTGGGTTAAGAACTTTGCTTCAGAATGAGAACAGAAATTGTGCAGCAGTGGCAGCAGGAGGCCCCATTAGCTAAAGTGGTGCTTCGGGTTAAGAACAATTTCAGGTTCAGAACAGACCTCCAGAACGAATTAAGTTCTTAACCCAAGGTACCACTGTAATACAAGTATACCATCCACTAGTTGGCAGAGGATACCCATGAAGAACAAAATTTGAGAAGTGGCTTTGCCATTCACAAGTCTTCTGTTTAGGGGCCAAAGTAGATGCTATTTTAATGGTGTAGCTAACATCCACGTCAGATTTCAAAACATTCAATCCTAGGCACAGGTTAGGGTGACCTTCATTGGGACCATAGCACACAGGGAAAACAGGCTTAACCCGTCATTACTCTCCCCTTCTGTGTTACCGTTAACCTTAAGAAGAAAAGCTCCTATTGGCACAAATTGGGGGGTTTTGTGTGTGCTTTTTTTTAAAGGATAATTGATTTATTGAGAGTTTTTTCTTTCTTTCCAGGATCATGGCTGGCTTGGGGAAGATTTAACCTCCCATCCCTGTGCACTGCAGTCCTTACGAAAATTAGTTCCCATTTAGGATTGGCTGCTGATGAAGCCGTGTAATTAATATAGGTTTAGTTTGAACTTTGTTTGTTTGTTTGTTTTACATTTACAAATTATAGAACCATGAGTTTGGTCACAAGAGGTTGATATATTAAAAACAGAACTTGAGCAAGTCTGCAGAGGTCCAAAAGTGTATAAATGGAGCTCAGTTACAAACATGAGTCTGATGCATTTCTAATTGAAATCAAATGCCTTTGATGGGGTTTACGTAGAGTTTAATTGAATCAATGCTGAGACCCAATGTTGCCTGTCAACGATGTAAGATTATCTACATATGATGGGCTCACTTCCTCATGCGGTAAATTATTGCAACAAAATCTAATAATCTAATTGAGGATAATGATTTGTATGTCAAATCAGAATTTATTTATCTAAGTATTTTTTCCTTCTCCTCAATCTAGTCTATAATTTATGACCTTTTTTTTTTTGCTTTTTTTTTTTGTTTTAATTCATACTACTCAGTCTTAAGAGTGAGCAAGATCAACAGTCTGTAGAAGAACTGACCTGCTTGTTATGTGGAAGGTCTCTTGAGCAAACTGAAATGCTTAACACAGCTGTGATGGGGGCTGCATTTGTTCCTAAGACTGCCAAGTGACTGTTACAGGCTGAAGGGAAACCTGTAAAAAGGACCCTGAGTGTGGATTACCATGAAGCATCCTCTGTGTGAGACACAAGAAATATAATTTGTAATACTCTCCCAGGAACGTTTTGCAAAATGTCGTTTTCTCTTTTTCCTGAAATAGCATTAAAGACTAAGGGAATTTAAGAAAGAGAGAGAGTGTACACACACACACACAGAGAGAGAGAGAGAGAGAGAGACATATGAATCAATGTACTTAATTCCTCAGTAGAGAGATTTCCTATGACCTGTCTATTTGCTGGTTCACCATTAAAAATGAACTGCTAACATTTTTCCTGCAGCCCCAGTCAAAATCAATAGAACATTGTGATGTAGTCTACTCAGCAAGTGCAGAT